CTGAATTCCTATAACATTTCTGCTATACGCAGCCAAAAAGTGTTTAGTTTTTAAGGATTTTAGCAGCTAAAGTCCCAATTTCACCTCAGGTTTTTGTGCTCGGGGATCTCAACACACCTCAGAGAGGTCACTTGAGCTCCTGTCCACATCTCGGAGAGTGAGGACCAAGGTCTGGGGGCTGAAGCATCTCGTGAAGTCACTGCAGAGCTGAGGTTAGAGGCACATTACTCTTTACTGCTTGATTTTCTGAGCCTGCCTCTTTTCCCCCTTTCCCCAGCCCTGGATTTTACTTGCATGTCATCTTGAAGCTGTTGGTTGAAATATTTCATATTTGGTTTATACATCATGCTGAACAAGGGCACAGGCCAGCTCTTAAAAGGTCAGCTTTATATAAATGTATAATGCATATGTACAAAATATATCATTTTAGAATAAATTCCAAACCACTGTAAAACATGGGATGGTTTTTTTTAGGGTGACCCATTTTAGTGCTAGGTCAGAGGACCCCTGGACGCTCTATATTTTGATTTATAAGATTTTTCAGGCCGGGTGTTGCTAGCAAGAGGTCAAAAAGGAGTTGAAATTGTTGGCGCTCGAGTGGTGCCTTGGGCTGTCTGACCCCAGCGGGGCTCACGGGCTGCAGGGGCTCACCAGCCTCCAGCAAAACTCCTGCCCTACCGTATCACGTATTGCACTGCTTAAAATCATCAAAATTCGTTACAGGGTCGTCAAGAAATGTTATAACTCATTGCACTGGTGATATCAGATCTGTTGCCTGTCTTAATCCTGACACCATTAAGAAGTATTGACCAGGCTTTACAATAAAGGTCCAACTGTGCCGGGCCATGCTGAGCTGGCTTCCAGCGTCCCCATGCCTTTGACTCCATCTAGCCTTGGTGGGGTGTGGAGCAACCACGTCCCACCAAGCTCGTAGGGCAGCGGCCAGCCAGGCAGGAGGTTGGGATCATGGGTTTTGGTGGGTTTTGGTGCCTGTTTGCAAAAGGGGATGCTGGGGGTCCCTGTCTGCTCACGGCCAGGAGCCACGAGGCACGCTGTGATGGGGATAAAGATGGGGGAGAGCAGGAGCCAGCCCCCAATCCTCTCACTTACCAAGTGCCCCGGTCAGAAATGGGACTTTTATCTAAAATACACAGCTGGGCAATGCAGAAGAAAAGCCAGAATGGCCTTTCGCTCAGTGCTATAGAGCAGCCACCAAAGGCCTGACTCTGCGTTTTGATTTCAGCCCAAAAAATGAATGCAGCTCTGGTGCGAGGCTTTCTCCGAACTCGGTTTTGATGTTTCAAGCAAACGTGTTATCGCAGGCAGAAAGGACTGAATGAGGGCTGCTGGGGCATTGTGCACCCAGGGGCTCTGCTTTGGGACCCCTGTATTAGCCAATTTCCTAATATTCTGCCTTTGAATCCTCGCCCTCTCCTTTCGTTGTAACTCATAAAATGCATCAGACTATTCCTCGCTCGGTGGAAAGAGATATTTTTTTTTTGTGAGCCAACTTGCACAAACGTCAGGATCTGCTTAAGGCTGGTTCTGGTCAGACTGAGCTTCAAAGGGAGATTAATTTCAACTGAGCTTTACAGTCTTTCACGAATTGGCTTAAAAACAAGGATTATCAAAATGCGTCAACATTGAAACGAACCACTTAAAAATAAATGGGCGCTTACGATACCTGAATTTAGGGTACCAGAAATGTGAGAGTGGGAAGAAATGGGAGGTGATGGTGGCTCCTTGCCATGTTCCCTAAACCCAACAAGGTCTCTTATTTCCATCCCAAAAGCACAACGAGAGTCAAAGGAAAAGAAACCTGAATCTACTTGACTTAAAGGTCACGCGACTTAGTGTCATGGTATTTGAGGGTCTCGTGATTGTTTTTTTTTAAATGTTAATACCTCAAGCCCTGCATTGGGAAATTCACTGCCAGTGGTTATCAGCTACGACTTGAAGACTCAGGTTGCTTCTAATCTGCTTTAACAGAGGTTTGATTGATGACAAGAAGTTACCAAGTTACCTGTAGGAAAGGTCTTTTACACAAGGCCCATGAGAAAGTATGAAACTGGAGAATTATTTTTCTGAATTCCTATAACATTTCTGCTATATGCAGCCAAAAAGTGTTTAGTTTTTGAGGATTTTAGCAGCTAAAGTCCCAATTTCGCCTCAGGTTTTTGTGCTCGGGGATCTCAACACACCTCAGAGAGGTCACTTGAGCTCCTGTCCACATCTCGGAGAGTGAGGACCAAGGTCTGGGGGCTGAAGCATCTCGTGAACTCGCTGCAGAGCTGAGATTAGAGGCACATTACTCTTTACTGCTTGATTTTCTGAGCCTGCCTCTTTTCCCCCTTTCCCCAGCCCTGGATTTTACTTGCATGTCATCTTGAAGCTGTTGGTTGAAATATTTCATATTTGGTTTATACATCATGCTGAACAAGGGCACAGGCCAGCTCTTAAAAGGTCAGCTTTATATAAATGTATAATGCATATGTACAAAATATATCATTTTAGAATAAATTCCAAACCACTGTAAAACATGGGATGGTTTTTTTTAGGGTGACCCATTTTAGTGCTAGGTCAGAGGACCCCTGGATGCTCTATATTTTGATTTATAAGATTTTTCAGGCCGGGTGTTGCTAGCAAGAGGTCAAAAAGGAGTTGAAATTGTTGGCGCTCGAGTGGTGCCTTGGGCTGTCTGACCCCAGCGGGGCTCACGGGCTGCAGGGGCTCACCAGCCTCCAGCAAAACTCCTGCCCTACCGTATCACGTATTGCACTGCTTAAAATCATCAAAATTCGTTACAGGGTCGTCAAGAAATGTTATAACTCATTGCACTGGTGATATCAGATCTGTTGCCTGTCTTAATCCTGACACCATTAAGAAGTATTGACCAGGCTTTACAATAAAGGTCCAAGATACAGTAAATTCTGCAGGATCTTGGCTGGCGGAAAGGTATTTTTTGTTTTTCCAGTAAAAAGTATTTCTGAATTAGACTCACAAACCGGCAGCGTTGATTCTGTGGCAGCGCTGGCACGGTGTGAGGGGGGCCCAAAATGCAGCTGGGTGACGGGGTGCAGCTGTTGGAGCGGTGGCAGAGCTGGCTGTGCCCATCACCGTGGCCTCCCAGCACCATCTACACCCCCTGAGGAAGCAGTAAAGGCAGCCCATCAGTGGTGAAACACCTCTGGCAACAGGTAGGAGCCTTCTGACTTTAAATTGTTTCATACAGATCTGTGTGAGTCTGTCCGTAAGTGTCACAGAATCATAGAATGGTTTGGGTTGGAAGGGACCTTAAGGTCATTCAGTCCCAACCCCCTGCCCTTGGCAGGGACACCTCCCACCAGACCACGTTGCTCCAAGCCCCCTCCAACCTGGCCTTGAACCCCTCCAGGGATGGGGCAGCCACAGCTTCTCTGGGCAACCTGGGCCAGGATCTCACCACCAAAGAACAAAGAAGTTCTTCCCCAGATCTCATCTCCATCTCCCTTGTTTCAGTGTCAAACCCTTCCTCCTCCTCCTATGGTTCCCCTCCCTGATCCAGAGTCCCTCCCCATCTTTCCTGGAGCCCCTTGAGGGACTGGAAGGGGCTCTAAGGTCTCCCTGGAGCCTTCTCTTCCCCAGGCTTGAACCCTCCCAACTCTCTCAGCCTGTCCTCCCAGCAGAGGGGCTCCAGCCACCAGCCTCTGGTCCTTCCTTGAGCCCTCTTCCATCTCTCCCCTTTCCAGGAATGGCTCCAGCCTGCCATGGAGCGGGTGGCCCCTCCATCACCCCAGCACTGACCGTGGAGGTGACACTTCTCCTCCTGCAATCCCACCTGATGCTCACACGGAGCCTGCAGCTCTTCACGGGGACCGTTTGCTTTTACGATGGACGGGTGTTTCCTTGTCACCCAGCAAATGTAAATATAATATAATTACGGTGTCAGCAGAACGACTGTAACAACTGAGGCCGATGCCATCCCAGAGCTGATGACATCACGGGGGGGTTATCCTGCCTGCTTGACTTCCTTCCCAGCAGAAATTACGGAGGGTATGAGTTAGCTGGGAAAAGGCATCCTCGGTAATGGTTAGAAACCGACGCCGGCGACAAAATGTTGGCGTTGATTGCTGAGATGTGGTGAATTCTCATTTTGTGCTTAAATATAGAGGGGCAGGTGCTGGGCTGGTGAGAACACATCTGCCCGGAGGGGGAAATGAATCCCCGGAGGTCAGGGTATCCACGCCAGGGGTTTACTAACCTTTAACACACGCGTGCAACCAGGAAGCCTCTCCGGTGATTGCCCGCGTTCTGCCAGTCCCTCACCACCACAAACACCCACCTAATTAATCCCCCAGCTTTTAAGGAAATGAAGCCGTAGAGAAATATGCCACCGGTAATAAATTACACAGCGTCGCCGCCGCCAATTAATGCTGCGGGAAATAATACTGTATTTCAGATGCTGAATGCTGGTTTTGGATTTTTTTTTTTTCCTTCTTAAATTGATTTGTCACCATACAATAAAATAAGGAGGCTGTCTGCCTGGATGTTGCTAAATTAATATCCAGATATTGTCCAAAGTGCTAAAATAGGATGTATTTCAGATGCTGAATGCTGGTTTTGGATTTTTTTTTTTTCCTTCTTAAATTGATTTGTCACCATACAATAAAATAAGGAGGCTGTCTGCCTGGATGTTGCTAAATTAATATCCAGATATTGTCCAAAGTGCTAAAATAGGAAAAAAAAAAAATAAAATAGAAGGGGTGTAGTTCTTTATGCTTTTCCCCTCTCGTTTTCATGATGCCTGAGAGCAAAGAGCCAAGCCAGCACACCGGTGTGCCCTACCACCGAGGGATTGTGGTGCCCATCCCAGTGCTCCCAGTCTCCACCAGCACACCCTCCCACCCCAGCGCTCCCACCTCCCCTCTCCGGGAAAGCCCACGTAGAGCAAGATATTTCCTAAAATGCTGTGAAGTTGGCACGGGTCCCTCGGGTGAGGAGCCTGCCGGGTTTGTTGTTACCTCCTGGCCCAGGAGATGCAGCAGCTTCGGATGTTCCCCATGCTGGGGGAGGAGGAGAGCGAGACCTCTGGGTTGCTCCACGAAGCAGGTAGCACCTTGGCCGAGCCTTCGGGCAGGTGGGATGAGTTATAGCAAAAGAAGGAAACGAGATAAAGTATATATTCCCACCGTGGTTGATCTTTGAAGCTTATCTTCGTAACAGCGAGCTTGAGTCACGGTGGCAGTTTGGAGAAGATGCCTTCACACCCATGGCCAGGTGTGCTACAAATGCAGAGATGAGTTGTTTTGACTGGAAGCATCCATGGGAACACTCTGGGAAATATCAGTGAGTGCAGGTGCCATAGGACACGGAGAGGCGTCCAGGAAACGAGCTGGGAGAGTCTACCTGCTCCTTCCTGGATGGTCCGGGAGGGTTGGACAATGGAAAGCAAAAGGGAAAGCAGGATTTCTGCGTGGTGGCAGAGGTATTTATGGAGGTAGGCTGTGGCTGTCACAGGGTGCGTCTCACAAGTGCCCCAGGTCTGCTATTCAGCAACACTGATAAGATTAAAAACCGAGTTAAACTTACTTTGGCCAGGCAGCAGGGAGGGGAGGCAGCAGCAGTTCAGCAGCACAGCCCCTCTCTGTTTGAAGGGGTGAGCTCAAACCCTTGCACTGGTTGTTGATACTTTGATTTAGTTATATAATATTTAGAACCTCTCCGAGGGTGGGATTAGGAAAAAAGCAGTGTCTTGAGGCATTTGCTGTTCCCCCCGGGTTGCAGTGAGGCTCTGACGGGTGCCAGGTGGTGGTCAGCCCGTTAGCAGCTCAGCAGGTGGAGGGCCATCGGTCTTCTAGAGCCATCAGAAATGGTCTTCAGGCCATCAGCCAGGGAAGCATCTCTGGCCGGGGGACAAACGAGGACTAGAATAGGAACTGGGTGTCAAATTAATAATTAAGAATAGAATCATAGAACTGTCTAGGTTGGAAGGGACCTTTCAGATCATCTAGTCCAACCATCAACCTAACTCTGATAAAAAACCATCACTAAATCATGTCTCTAACGGATTGACTAACCATGTCAACCCGTCTTTTAAATCCCTCCAGGGATGGTGCCTCAACCCCTTCCCTAGACAGCCCATTCCAAGGCTTAATAACCCTTTCCATGTCAAAATTGTTCCTAATCTCCAATCTGAACATCCCCTGATGTAATTTGAGGCCATTTCCTCTTGTCTCATGGCCTGTGACTTGGGAGAAGAGACCGACCTCCACCTCTCTACACCCTCCTTTCAGGGAGTTGGAGAGAGCAAGAAGGTCTCCCCTCAGCCTCCTCTTCTCCAGGCTGAACACCCCCAGCTCCCTCAGCCTCTCCTCACAAGACTTGTGCTCCAGACCCCTCACCAGCTTTGTCGCCCTTCTCTGGACCCGCTCCAGCACCTCAATGTCTTTTTTGTGGTAAGAACCCCAAAACTGGTCACAACCCTCGAGGTGGGACCTCACCAGTGCCCAGTACAGGCGGACCATCACTGGGTACAACAGCTCTTTAGCAGGGGCTGCTGTGCCCATGGTGCTGTGGTCAATGCTGCAGGAGAGGCAGGTCACACCCCGGTACCATGGGGATGGCAGTGGGCACTGCCCATCCAAATGCAGCAGAGCTGGGCTGGAGAAATGCAAAAAATCAGCCTGCCTCTGACCCTACAAACCAACTTTGAGAGCAGGAGCTCTTACAATGTGTTTTACAGGCCGGGTAGCATCTCCTTGAGTCAGACACAATAGCCCTTTCCCTGCTCCTCCCAGTCTAAATGCTCTGTCCTGCTCGGAAATTAAGTTAGATAAAAAGATAATTTTTTATTTATTTTTTTAAGTGCTGCAGGAGAGGCAGGTCACACCCCGGTACCATTGGGATGGCAGTGGGCACTGCCCATCCAAATGCAGCAGAGCTGGGCTGGAGAAATGCAAAAAATCAGCCTGCCTCTGACCCTACAAACCAACTTTGAGAGCAGGAGCTCTTACAATGTGTTTTACAGGCCGGGTAGCATCTCCTTGAGTCAGACACAATAGCCCTTTCCCTGCTCCTCCCAGTCTAAATGCTCTGTCCTGCTCGGAAATTAAGTTAGATAAAAAGATAATTTTTTATTTATTTTTTTTTTTTAATACCACAGGCTCTCATCTGGAGAGGACAGCCGTTGGCTGGGTGTATTCTCAGCAGGGAAGAAGGAAGTACTCTTGTTCTTTACATTACGCTACCAAAACGCCACCTGCCCTAAGGGGTAACAACTCTCATCTGGAGAGGACAGCCATCGGCTGGGTGTATTCTCAGCAGGGAAGAAGGAAGTATCCTCGTTCTGTCTGGAAGGAGCATTACGCTACTGAAACGCCACCCGCCCGAAGGGGTAACGAGAAATGAACGTGATAACGTGGAAGGTCTGGGCATTATTGAGAGGTTTGCTCAGTCTCCAACTGGATTCATTCACTGCTGGCAGTTGGAAAAATTAATTAAGTGCAGACCTGTAGCAATCTAGGTGATTTTTATTCCCTAACGCCGTAAAGTATGAACATTATCCGTGGAAAACCGTTGGAATAGCAGGTAAGGCCCCCAGGAGGCTTTGTGTGGGATGCTGACTGTCATGGGACACCCCTGAAGTGTGACAGAAAGGGGCTGGGAGGGATGTCCTGGCCTCCAGCCCTTCCACCAAGGCTGGTTGGACATTCAGCCAGGTCCTCTCCATCACCAGCCCATTCCCTGGGTGGCCCTGCTCTGGTGACAGTGACTTTGTCATGGGTAAAGTGGAGCAGCACGATGGGCTGGGCTGGGTGTGCCATCCTCCTGCTGTCCCTTATAGCCTGGTGGCTTTGTCCTGCTGGCCTGAGTGTGGAGCTGTAGGTTTAAAATCCCTTTGGGTACCCAAAGCGCTAACATCCCCAATATCAGCTTCAAGGATGCAGCTTTCAGAAAATAAGCTGATTTCAGCTGGGTGAGTTGGGCTCTGGCTTCGTGACTGCAATGAGGGCAGTGGAAATGTATTAAATGCCCTTCTGGGGAGTAATTTCCCAGCTTTGTACCGGACCGATGACAGATGAGGGTTTGAATTTGGGCTAGAGATTTAAAAAATGCACAAATCCGTTGGCTGGGACTTTTTTTTTTCTTTTCTTTTTTTCTTTTCTTTTTTTTTTTTTTTTTTTTTTGCACCTGGCATGAGGGAAAGCGTTCAAAAGTTAAACTGGCCCTGGCCTTGTGATAAGAGGAGTTATCTGAGCTGGCCATAAATCGAACCGGGACGGCTTAATTGCTCATTCGCAGTAAATAAAGCTATAACCGAGATGTCTACTCCGTAATATGGAGGGGATCTCCCAGGCTACGGAGGATGATAGCTAGCTGGAGAAATCCATTCGAAGGCTCTTTGGGATCGATAAGCAGTTAAGAGAGCTGCGGGGAGATGACATTGCCTGTCTTTGTGCACAGACACCCAAAGAGGTGCCGAGCTCTTGAAAGCACGAAGGGCAACGCCTGGGCTCGGATGCCTCAGGTCTAAAACACGGTGATTTCTAGCTGGGTTTCCACTCAGGGTCCAAAAAAGAGAGGTAGGAGCACCCTGTAGACCAGAGTAAATGGCTGGGGACCCATCCGCTTCGGTAGCAGCGCTCCCACCCTCACCCTGGGATGGTGTCCGAAGCCATGGTGATGGGCTTAGCCACCAGGTTTATTAATATTAGTGAGGTTTATTAATATTAGTGAGGGTTCTGTGGCCAGATGGGCATCTGAGGCTGCCCCATATGCTTGCAGCTCACGCTGGTAGCCAACCCAGGGTTCCTTGACTTAGGCTGGAACAAATCCACTGTCGTGGTGGAGGGAGCTTAGGGAAGAGGCTTAGAGCTGATTTTTGCCAAAGGCTTCCAAGAGGTGCCATGGCAGGGGAGAGGCTCTGCCCGGGTGCCTGGGAAGGGTCTTTTCTACTCACGAATATACTGCTGGTGGGGTGGTTTGAGCTCCCTGCTTTTCACCAGGTGGGCTGTGCTGTTTCTCCTGTGCCTGGGGCCAGGTGGAGTCTGCCATCAGTCATGTGAAATGTAAATCATAGAATCACAGAATGGTTGGAGTTGGAAGGGACCTTAAAGATCATCTAGTTCCAACCCCCCTGCCCTGGGCAGGGACACCTCCCACCAGACCAGGTTGCTCCAACCCCCTTCCAACCTGGCCTTCACCCCCTCCAGAGATCGGGCATCCACAACTTCCCTGGGCAACCTCTTCCAGTGCCTCACCACCCTCACAGCAAAGAAGTTTCTTTCTAGTATCTCATCTAAATCTCCCCTCTTTCAATTTAAAACCATTAAAACCATTCCCCCTTGTCCTACCTCTCCACTCCCTCCCCATCTCTCCTGTAGCCTCCCCCACCACCACAATGGCAATGACTGCCTCATCCCTAATAATTTACTTTGAAATGCTGTTGTGCAGAAGGAAGATCAATTGCCACTTAGCTTCCAGCTCCTGCCCTGCCAGTCTTTTAAAAAGGAAATATTACAGCTGCCTTCAAGCCCTGCCACTCCTCACCTGGCCCACGTTTAGTTATGAATTCCCCCCACGCTGTGGGAGAGCTGGGGGGGAGCAGGGGGGCTGCAACAGGAGCTGTGGCCCCTTCAGCCCCAAATCCAAACGAGATTCAGAAAAAAGGTGAGGGAAAAGCAAACCATGAAGCGATCTCTGCTGGGATTCTGCTTAGGGATATCCCAGGGGTTTCACCCGGCATCTCTCCCCTCTGGTACCCACACCTTCCAGCGGGATGCTGGAGTCCACGGGTGGTGTGAGGCTCCTGCCAGCCTCAGAAGGGGGAGAAAACCCTTCCAACCTCTCAACTAGGTCCTTTGAGAAAGAGGAGAGTTCTCCTTACTGGTTTTGGAGGGGATGCAGCCAGGGCCACGGTTTGCCAGCAGGCGCTTGGGAAGGTTTGGGGTCGGGTGGTGGTGTGGAAAATGATGTATTATTATGTTTTCTCTAGTGAATGTGTGATCAAACGGACAGGCTCACAATCACTTCACAAGGACAGAAAGATGTGAGGCTCGCTAGAGCCGTTATTTCCGATTGATTTGCTCGGCTTTATCTAATTAGCTGTCCTTGAGCCAATCTGCTTAAGTGGCAG